TAATTAAAAATTAATTATTATTAATTGAATTAATTATAAAAAAAACTTAATTAAAATTACTTTAATTAATTATAATAATAAATAATTAAAATTAATAAATATTAATTTTAATTAAAATTAATTAATATCAATTTTAATTAAAATCAATTAATTTTAATTTTAATTAAAATCAATTAATCTCTCCTCCTCCCTCTCTCTCTCGGTTAGGCTCGGCGGGTTCACGGGATTTGGCCGAGTGAGCGTGTGAAAGGGAGCAAGTTACCTTCACAACAAGAGCTCCTGTTTCTCCTTCCAATCAAAATGGCAGAACTTTCGATCCGAACAGGAAGGAACGACGTCGGCTTCAGGTAAGGGTCTTAGAGGCGTCAGCCTTGGTGTAGCTTGCGACAGAGAGGGAGTTCGGCAAGGTCGCTGGATTCGGCTTCAGGTAGAAGAAGACCTCTCTCTCTCTCTCTCTCTCTCTCTCGGTTTCTCTCTGGATCGGGAATACCGTGAGGCTAAGCAAGGTGTCGGAGAGGGGAGATCGATATGCAGGTGGGATCTTCGGCAGAAGAGGCTCGACCGAGAGGGAGGAAGAGAAGCAGAGGTCTCGTGCGGGAAGAGGAAGCGGAGAAGTAGTGACTGGAGCTCGATCGTGTGGGAGGAGCGAATCAGCCGAAGGCTCCATTCGATTGGGTATTTAACGACGAGAACGGGACAGCGATCGAGAGCAGAATTTCGGCAGGGATCGCGGGAAGCGACGCGAGCGGCGCTGAGTGCACAGTAATTTGGCGGGATTCCTAGATCCAACGGCCAAGAGGTATAAGAGGCATGCATGCTAGATTTTCTTTGGCTTCTTCCCTCTTGTGTTGTTTATACAGAGGTTAATAGAAGTCCAAACAACATTTTGGGAATTCCAAACAGCACTTTGCCCACATCAAAAACAAAATGGCCGAGCGGCCAAATGCTATTTATAGTTGTCCTCTAGCAAACAGGTTAAGGGTTCAAATCCCTCAAAAAAACCATGCAAACACTAAAAATAAATAAATAAATAAATAAACCAAAATCGGGTTGAGAACCATGCTTTAAATTAAGTACATTCACTAATTTAGTTTGCCATATTGAGGAAATACAAGTGCGAAGATATTCTAGACAGATGCATTAAAAAAAATAATTAAAATTAAAAAAAAAAAATCTAGACAGATGCAGCAAAGTTTCAACTTGTTCCCGAATCAAATTTCACCTACAAAAGTATATGATAAGATTGTTTCCATTGATATCTTTCCACATTTTTAATTTCTACAACTTTTTCTTTTTATGAAAAAATAGAATTTAGCACTGAAGCCTTCAATCCAAAGGGACTAAAATATAAAAGTTTCAGGTTCTTGGCATTCACTCGTCAGGGGAAGGGAGAACCGAAAAAAATCAAAATTATAGCTTTCCTAACAATAGACGAAAAATGATAACTACCTAGAAAAGAAGATTATAAAATATTTAATTAGAGAATATGCAAGAAAAAATGAATGCTGCAAAAGAACCTACGTGAGGGAATGATGCAAGAAAAAATGAATGCTGCAAAAGAACCTACGTGAGGGAATGATATGATTCATCCAAATGCGATTCTGCCGGAGATACATTCACAAACATAAGTGTTTTGGCATTTCCCCCAAGAGCATCACTCATAAGCATGGTCAGCTTATGATTCCTATAAGGAATGTGTTGGGCCTCAGAACACAAAGCACTGATCACATCCCCAAAAGCAGAATGAGATTTGTTGATGCTTTGTGCTTCTTTCAACTGATTTCCTGAAGAGCCTGTCTTTTTTATCCTTTCTGAGCTAGCTAGATCTACAAAGGTAAGCTGTGAAATTCAAATAAAACAAAGTTCATAACTTCTAACAAAAAATGTCGTCAATAAAGAATAAAAGTAACGTTCTGGAAGGCCTGAAGTCGGATTAACTTCATCAATAATTATTTGTTGATTAGAGATGAAATCAAACAATTATTTCTGATATTTAGGATTCTTTTTTATGACATCTAAATATTGGCTAAATCTGATGTCATTTAGACGTTAGGTTACCTGAAGGTTAAAATAAATGATAAGCAAACGAGAGATCTTAGTCAACGTTGATCAGTATAGAAACATAGCATTGTTTAATTAAAAAAAAACATAAAATCAAACAACCCTTTAGCCATATTTTACTCTCAAAATCTAATTATAATTAGCGAATATAAAATGTTAGTTAACTTATAAATCATTATGTAAATCAAAAGCTGAGCCATTTTATGATCTTCTCAATCAATGAATAATATATTTTCAGAAGAGGTGCAACTTAAAGGGTGGGTTGGGTTGTTGTGGTAATAGATCCGATTCACTGTAAACATTTAAAATTAACTTCCTCAAAACAAGCCAAATATTCTTTGTAATTCAAATAAATGTGCATTTACCTTCCCACTAGCAAGAGTTTGACTTTGAAGATTAGTGCTTTCAATTATGATAGATACTATTAAATGAGATCTTGAACTTTCACCATCAATTTTGTTTCCTGCAATATGTCGTTGCTCAGCTCCCTTTAAAATGGCCATCCTTAATTCTTCAAATTTTGCAACTTCGAGAATTGTGATATTTTCTATGGAAACCATTCCCTGAATGGCAAAGGGACCGTTAATACCAGAAAATACGCATAATTTCTAAAAGAAAGTTTAGCATGCTAATAAGACACATTCACGTCTTTTTCAATATGCAACATTATATTTTCCAGGTGATGAAACAAACAGTTCTAGCATAAGCCTTAGGAACCAAAAATGACAATTTTATGATTTCTATGTTTTAACTGAGAAAACTCTAGAATATACAATATAATAAAGTAAGTTCTTTAAAAATTAGAGATATTCTAGCTTTTATAAAGTATATGATGATCAAATAAAAATCAAAACAAGGACAAGACTGGGTATAAAATCAAGCCGATTCATGAAATTTAGTTCCATTTCATTATTTAGATATATTTTTGATCTCTGGATATATTTTCATTTTAGATTGAATTATCCATTTGAATAATCATAAGTTTGAATATGAGTTACCAGATTAGAATATGAGTCACTCCAAATAGAATTAATTTCTTTTTTAATATATATGTATTATGATTTTAAATAATTAGGTTACCGATGATGTAATAATTTTTATTGGAAAATAGAAATTACTCTCTGAATCTCTCTTCTGGGATATCCTTCTTCAAGGATTATTGAATTTCCTTGTACACTTGACACATTCTTACTCTATTTAATCTCAAGAAAAAGTATGCCAAAAACCATAATTCCTATCCTCCGAACTCCCAAATCCAAACCTTTCCAACATAAACAAATGTCGAATTGTAAGGTAAAAAAATTCACTAAAATTAACCTATTTTCTCTATAAAAACCTAGACGCTTCTTGTTGGCTTGTTGGAGGTTTCTACTAGTTGGCCAGGTGAGTTGGCTGTGCAAGCTTGTGCGAAGATAGAGGAGAGTTGGTGCATGAGTGGCTATTGGTTGGGGCCTAAATGCGAAGTAGGTAAAGGTAAAGGAGCTATGAACAGGATGAAGGATAGTAGAGGGAAAGTAGATGTCAATTGAGGGAGAAAAGGCGAGAGAAATGTGAAGAGAGGAGAGGTAGCTAAGTGGGTTGCTAGTCGGCTGGGCTGCAGGAGCTAGCTAGCAATATAGGAGACAGAGAGGTGTAAAAACCCAAAATATGAAAACATATTTTAAAATGAAATATTTAAAATTTTGTTTGAATTTGAGTGTTGCCGCGTTGAGGGAGAGAGTCATGTTTACACTCCATATATTCAGTTTTAAATCTACTCAAATGAAAGCCTTTAGACTCTAAGGTTGACCTCCATAATTCATGTTTCCCTTTGAATCCCTCTCTAGTCTTATGAACAGAAGAATATCATCAGCAAAAAGCATATACCAGGATACAACCTCTTGCAAATGTCTAGTGAGAACATCCATGACTAAAGCAAAAAGATATGGGCTTAAGGCTGATCATTGATGTAATCCAACTGAAATGAGAAAATACTTGGCAAAACACCTTGTGTTTGAACACAAGTAACAGCTCTTGCATAAATATTCTTAATGACTTAAATATAAGCATTATTAACCACTTTATTATGTAGAACTCTCCATAAAACTTCTCTTGAAACTTTATCATATGCTTTCTCTAAATCAATATAAATCATATATAGATCCTCCTCCTCTTTATAGTTCTCCATCAAACCTCTAAATAGATGTATAGCTTCCATAGTAGACCTACGTGACATGAATCCAAATTGATTTTGAGAAACATTAGTATCACGCTGCAACCTTTGCTCAATAACTCTCTCCCCTAGTTTTAAAGTATGACACATTAACTTAATTCCCCTACAAAATCGTACAATCTTGTGCATCATCATTATTCTTAAAAATAAGAATCAATACACTCATTCTCCACTCATCTGGTATCTACTTAGACTTCAAAATAATATTTAAAAGTTTAGTAAGCCAATAAATTTCTTCATCTTCTAAGTATTTCAACACCTCTATTGGAATATCATTAGGTCCAACAATTTTTTCACAGTTCATTTTCTTTAAAGCTTCTTTAACTTCGGTTTTACTAATATGCCGATAAAAACAAAATCTTTATTTTTATTTAGGGTGCTAAAGTCAATAAACTCAATCTCATTCTCACAATCTTGATCGAAAAGTTTAACAATACATATCATCCACCTTTATTGAATATCCTCTTCTAATAAAATCATTTTTCGATATTCATCTTTAATACGCTTTACTTGAACTAAATCTTTACTACTTTTATCTCTTTGTTTAGCTAACTTATACATATAACTTTCGCGCTCCTTAACATCTAATTTATTATATAAATCATTAAAAGCTAAAATCTTTTCATCACATATTGATTTCTTAGTCCTTATGGGCCTCTTTATGTCTTTTTCAATTATCAAAAATTTTATAGCTAAAGTAATTTTTATAACAAATCTTCTTCTTTTTTATCTTTTCTTATACATTTTGATTCCACCACCAACTATTTTTACTATTAGTAATTTTTCTTTCAGATACTCGAAGCATATCTTTTGCAACATTCTTGATATCACTAGCTACTTTTCCTATATAACATTAGCTTCCCCATGCACATACAATATCTTAAGATCTAGAATATTACTCTTAAAAATATTTTTGTTAATATTCTTTAAATGCCCCTATATAATCCTAGAACAAAGATTTACTTTATTTTGTATTTTCTTCCACTTCATCTTAAAGTTCCAAATTAATAAGCGATGCTGAGTACATAAACTTTCACTCGGAATAACTTTACAATCTTTGCAATCTAAACTACATATTTTTCTTAAAAAAAATCATTCTGAGTTTTACTATATCCATTCTTATAAGTGATGAAATGCTAATCACTTTACTTAGATAAGGTTTTAAAATTTATAAAATCATAAGTTAAAGAAAAATCTAATATGATCTTACTACATCATTAGTCGCTCCAAAGCCATAACAAACATGAAGACTTTTAAAATCATCTACCTCTCTACCAACATATTCATTTAAATCTCCTCTAATAAAAACTCTTTTTTTGAGAGGTATCTTTTGTATTAATTCATCTAGATCATTCCAAAATTTTAATTTTGAGCACATATTCAAACTTACTTGAGGAGCATAAGCGCTTATAATATTAATAATCTTAGTATCAATAACAATCTTTAAAGTTATAATTTTATTTTCAATTATATTAATTTTTACAACATTATCTTTCAAACTCTTATCTATAAAAACACCTACACAATTTCTAGTACGCTCCTACCAGAATAACATAGTTTAAATTCTAAACTATTAATCTACTAAGCCTTCACTCCAACCCATTTAATTTCCTAAAAGTAAATAACTTTTGTCTTCCTATAAATCATAATATCTATTAATTACATGAATTTGCTTGTAAGGGAACTTATATTCTATGTTGCTATCCTAATTTTAGTTCTATAAACTAGTTTTTTGCCCACATCCGTTCATGATGTGGAAACCTTTAACCTATTTAACACTAGACTCGAGCATAGGTGCAGCAGCCTTGCATGTCATGATCATTTGTTTACTCAAAACTAATGTTTAATTACATGTTACTAAATTTCATGTATTTACAAAATCAAGGAAAAATAAAGGTAGCATATTCTATTTACTTTTGAGTTTTTTGTTGTAAATTATATTTCAAAGAAACTATTTTTTCCATTCAATTGAGAGGATGTTTGGTTTTATGTAAATGGGGTGTAAAGTTCCAAATGAAGGGATTTGAAAAATATTGGTGTTTGGTATTAAGTGAAAGAAATGTAAAGTAAAATTTTAAAATTTTGGAATTCACTCTCTAGTTCAATTTTGATATATTTGAAAATCATTAGATTTGACCAACTTCTACCTAAACTATAAATCATCTATTACCGCAAGCCATTGTATTTGCTGCCAACCACCACCACCCACCACTGGTCGTTGGCTACTCGCTGCTTGCTGCCACCACTACCGGCAGCCATCATAACTGCCATACCTATCGCTGTCTGCTGCCACCACTGCCATCCATTGCTTATTCCCTCTATTGCACTTGTCACCCCCCGCCGGCCACCACCATCATTGGACTTTATATTGCATTCATTTTTCTTCAACCCTAGCAAAAAAGGGAATCACTTGTATTTATTTAGTAATCATCCAAACAACTCAACATTTAAAATACCCTTCATTCCTTTTACATTGTATTTTATTTTACTCTTCTTTTTTTTTTCATCCAACCAAATGACCCCTAAATGCCAATTTAAAATAAAAAACCCACTAAAATGAAAAGGAAAGCTCATTTCTTAAAATAAGAATTTAACTAATGATAAGAATAAATCTACATGATAAGGTTGGAGTAGCTCCAGTGGAAGATAAGATTAGAGAGAGTCAACTTAGATGATTTGGTCACATTAAACGGAGGTTTTCTGATGACCCGATTAGGAAAATTAAGGTATAAGAAAGGTGGAGGTAGACCTAAAAAGACTTGGTTAGAAAATATTAGAAATGATATTTCTTTATTAGATTTAAATAAGAATTTGACTTTTAACAGAACAATGACAAAAAAGGATTCATGTAGCCGACCGTGGGACAAAGGCTTAATGTTGTTGTTGCTGTCATATAAGCATAAATCTACAATTGATCAACCTACACAAAATCTCCAACCAGAGGACTAGTGAATTTTCTCAGATTTCCTTTGATCTTGAGAACACCAGACATGGTTGCGATGAATGCATCGAGTTATTTATCACTTAGATTTACATCTAGTGGGAAGGTCATCATCGGGGAGAAGAGTTTGGAGATTGCATGCATCGAGAAAGTTGAATTAAAGAAACTAAAGAAAAAGTTTTCTTAACAAATCAAAACCTATAAACTTCAAAATATGGATATTGTTTCTTCTTGGGTTTTAGCATAGTTTTGCAGATAGAAGAAAATGCTTTCAACATAGCTCCATATTGTTCTCAAACGCCAACCTCTCAGATAACATCACACTCCATTCATGAGAGAAATTTAATGTCAGGATTGTGGTGAAGAGGATTGCCAAGGGTGGTTGTGATCATAAATGACTGCCAATCATGATGAGGAAATTAAAAGTTGTGGAGAAACACCAAGAGTACTGAGGAAGGTGAAATACAGGCGTCTGAATGCAAAAAAAAATAAATTTACTTAGCATTAGTTTTACTATATACCAAACATTTATAAAGTTAAAATGCATACAAAATGTGTTTATTTTACACTAATTTTACGTCAAACCAAATAAATACTTAGATTTTACATAACAATTGATTTTGTATGGCTTTTACCGTAGCAAAGCAAAACCTATATCTCAAGGTGCTAAATTAAAAAGATGAGAAACATATATCACAACACCATGACTTGAGCTTCTATTTCATTGATATAAAAATTATGCTGATTCGAAGCCCAGGTTAAATTTGTTGATTTCTAAATACAAAAATAGAATTAAACATTTTAGATAAAACGAAACATCCCAATTAGAAAATATCGAAATCACCTTTAAGTTCTTTTTAATGTTTAATTTTAAGCGTTTGGCATTTTTTGGGAGTAGAAGATCTACAAGAGTATCTTGATATAACTCAACCATGTAAACCTGCAAAAATAATCAAAGTTCAAGATAATAAGTTTAGCAAAATCAATGGTAAAGTTAATACTAAATTTCAAATCTACTTGGACAACACAGTTAATGGAATTTCAAAAAGATATATATATCAGTTAGTACCGGATTCATGCAGTGCATTTTTAATTAACTAGTAAAAAATCAAGTTTAAACAGTCATGAAACATTCAGTTCAGTTTGAGGTGAAATTTATCCAATGCCTTCGTGCATAATCAAATTTTACCTGCTTTGTAATATTTCCTCAATCTAAAGCCCATATTAAAGTGCAGCAACACTAAACACCTGCACCTGAAGGCTCGTCAAATTTTAGAAGGATTCTTTCTGATAGTTTTTCAGATTGCTTGACAACAGTTGGTTTAATCATGTACGCGTGAGGATACTGATACGGGAGAAGGCAGCCAGCTCACCCAGCCGGCCCAGCAGGGGCCAATCTAGCAGAATCGGGCAGACAACCCTTGGGCGGAACATGCAGCAGTTTCGGCCCCCTTCTGGGGGCCATCAAAGCTTTGATTAAATAAAATAGAAGAAAAAATAAGGAGGGAAATGTTAAAGGAAAGAATTCGAATATTGAAATAGAAAAAGAGAGGAAAATTTATTAAGGGGGCTTTTTTGGGGGAATTAAGAGAGTTTAATTAGGGTTAATTCTAGGGTTTATTTTCATCATGTATCTTTGGATTTTGTTGTAGTTTTTATGTATTTTTCGCTTGAGGGCTTCTTAGTGGCGTCTAGGTCAAGTGGGAGAGACGATCTACCTCTCTAATTGTAGATCATCATATCTTGCTTTGGTGTTGAAGAATTAATACAAAAACAACCATCGTTTCTCAATTTCTGCTGTTTTTATGATCTTTTTTCTCTGATTTCATCCTCAAGGCGTATCAAATTTGTATCAAAGCACGTTTTAGGACCTATGGCCGAGAAGAAGATGGAGGTGTTGGAAGGTGAGATGGAACAACTCAAGGTTATCATGGAGGAGAGATTTTCTGGAGTGAAAGAGAGATTCTCATCCATGGAGAATCGCTTTGGAAACATGGAAGACATGATGAAGAAGATTGAAATGCAATCGAAGGCTTCACTAGCTATTCCAAGAGGGGAATTTGAACCCTTCTAGAGACCACCTAGACAGGAAAGAAGGTGGTTGGGAGGAAGTAATGGTTGAGCCGAACCATGGGGTCCAAATCCTCCAAGGGAGAAAGGGAGAGAATTACACCACCAATACACAGTGGGAGAAACTATTGAACTATGGATACGAGATCGAAGGAGAATATGCTCAGGGATGGGTGTACCGAGTGGAGCATTACTTTGCTATTAATGGGTTGACGGAAGGGTAACAATTCATGGCGATGGGTCTATATTTGGAAGGGAAAGCCCAAGCTTGGTTTCAAATGAGGGAGGCTAGGTATCCAATCTACTCATGGGAAGAATTTAAAAAGTGTTTGTTGGAATATTTTCGAGCCATTCAGAAAAGAGACCTCCACGAGCAGTTCTATGACCTAACTCAGGAGGGGCATTAATACATTATCTGGAGAAGTTTGAGCTGTTGTCGGGGAGACTGAGAGGGATCTTCGAAGAAGGATTGAAAGGAATTTCACGAAGGGCCTTAAGAAAGACACAGGAGCAGAGTTCAGGGTGTTGAGACCTTGAGGACTCAGAGAGACAATAGAGCTGACGCAACGGGTGGAAGAGACATATCAAAGGGAGAAGGCCAGCCGAAGAAACACCATGGGAAGAGCTTATAGAAGTAACACCACGACCCTGATACTAAGAACCCAGACGATATCATTTAAGAGAAGCATCGAAGGAGAAGAGCACTAGAGTCATACTGGAGGCAACTTCAAGCACCTCACATAAGCAAAGGTGCAGGATAGACAAGCAAAGGGGATAATGCTTCAAGTGTGAGGAACGATTTAGGCTAGGACACAGGTGCAAAAATTGAGCCCTTCAGGTCTTGATGGTTTGTGAAGGGGAGGAAGAGGGTAGGGACAAGCTGGAGAAGGTTGTGGAGGAGATAGAGAAATTAGATTTAGATGTGGTGGAGGTATCTCTGAACTCCGTGGTGGGATTTACCCCATATCACTCCATGAAGGTAAGAAGGCAAGTTGGGGAGCAACCCATGGTGGTTTTGGTGGATAGTGGAGCCACTCATAACTTCATCTTGAAAGTTCGACAGAAATGTTAAGCCCTAATGAACTAGTCCCAAGGCTAACCAAGAGGGGGGGGGGGAATTGATATGTAAAAAAAATTCTTTAAGCAAAAGCACACTCACAGCCAAACCAAGATTCACCACAAAAATCAAAGTGCGGAAATTAAATGTGGAAGTACAATAAGAAAGAACACACAAGATTTTATAGTGGTTCAGTCAACCTGACCCACGTCCACTTCCTCGGGGTCTCTCCTTCGAGTATTGCACTAAATACAATATCTCTCCTTTTTCCCCCACAACAAAGCGGAGAAGCTCGTATAAAAACTCCTTTCCACCAACCACGGTGAGGCAGAGAACCCAACTCCTTTTGCTTCCTCCAAAAGCAGGCAGAGAACCAAATTCCTTTTGCTTCCTCCTAAAGCAAGCAGAGAACCTTGATTAGTTCTTGAAGTAGACCTCTCTAGAACCCCCAAGGAACCAGGGACGACGACGGATCCTTTCTTGAAGCAACCCTTGTGAAACCCCTCACAAACTCCCCCACACAAGATCCTCTCTCTCTCTCCCTTTCTCTCCCTCTACTCTTGGCTCTCTCAGGTCAGGATAGCAGCAAAAGATCTCTCTTTGAGTAAACAAGAGAGCTTTTAAACAATAGCTCAAAATTAGCCCTAATTAGCAACTAATTGTTAAATATCATCCAGGACGATAGTACATCGTCATGTACGATTAGTTCAACTCGACGAATATCGTCCAGAAAATCACCCTGGATGGATGTCTGAATGATAGAAAAATAGCTAGATCGTCCAGGCCGATCTCACGATCGTTCGGGCCGATTAGTACAAAACGTCGAATATCGTCCAGAGCATCGCTCTGAATGGATGTTTGGACGATGGAAAAATAACTTGATCGTCTAGGCCGATCTCCAAATCGTCCCAGATGATTAGTTCAATTCAGTACATATCGTCCAGAGCATTTGCCCTGAATGGAACTAGGCCGATGTTTGATCGTCCAGAAAGAACTTAGGTTTATGAACTGATCGCCCCGGCCGATCCTGCGATCGTCTATGACGATATGATCGAGCAATCAAACCTTAATTGCTTTCCATAATTACCAGATAAATTTAGGCATAATTGCACTATATCGTCCAAGACGATGTCCAAAAATAAAAGATACCTGAATAGATATGACGGCAGATTCTTTCTGATTTGAGCCTATCATCTCAGCCGATACTAATATCGTCAAGGACAGTTCTCTTAATTACGGCTGCCTTAACCAGGATGCTCTAATTAGGGTTTCTGTTTCTAACTAATCGTCCAGGCCGATTTTTGAATCGTCCTGGTCGATGTGATCGAAAACAACAAACTCTAAAATATCAAAAAAAAGTTCCCGCAAGTGTGTGTGTGAAAGGTTAGTTAGCATCAAGACTCACATTGTTACAAAGGACTCAAGAAAAAGTAAAAGACACATGTCGTACATTACAAACTGACTCAATCCTAATCTACCCAATCTTGAACTGGTTCAATTTACAGTTTGTTCTTATGGACCTGAAACGTTATTAGGCAAGGCAGTTGTAGAGAAACAAAAGTGTTTGCTATCATCAAAATTCTATTCCCTGAAATTAGATTCACAACAATCTCCCCTTTTTTGATGATGACAAACAATTAAACAATTAAAACTAAAGAAAGCACGAACAAAAGTTAAAACAATATGACGAAACCATCGATTAAAAAGGTGTTCGAGGCGGAAGCCTCGAGGCGCTCCTCGAATCGAGCCGGAGGTCGGGCGAACTGAGGCTTAAGCCTCGAACGATCGGGCGAGGCTTACGCCTTTTTCCATGGAGGCGTACGCCTCACCGCGTGAGGCGTCGAGGCGCATCGAGGCAGCGCCTCAAAAGCGAGAAAGTTACCTTCACAGTCAGCGAGCTCCCGTTGTTTCTTCCGATCAAAATGTTGTAGCTTACGATCCGACAGGAAAGGGAAAGTTGTCGAAGGAGCAAAGTCGAACAGCCACGAAGGAGCCAAAGAAGCGACGCGTGCAATCTCCACACCTCCTGTGAAGCAACGAAGCCGAACAGCAAGGACGAAAAGAAAAGATGAAAGGCAAACCGTAGATGCAGCTAAGTTATTATTGATTAACTTAGTTAATATAATTTAAAATATTAATAATTAAACAAATTAATTAAATAATAATTTATTTTAATTATTTTGAGGCTTACGCCTCGCCTCGCTTAGAAAAAACGCCTCGATTCTCGATTTCGCCTGTTAAAACCTTGGACGAAACAACTCAAACACTACTCCTTTTGATATCACAAAAAGGAAAAAAAAAACCAGAAAAGAAAAACCAAAATAGAAGACGAAAAAAAAGAACGAAATCAAAGTTTTTTTTATCAAAGTATGAATATGATAAAGTCTCCATGTGATTAAATTTAAAGACTTGTAAGACCAATGAGTTAACATCGTCGAAATTCGAAAACGGTAAAATATCTAATCATGTTAACCCTAGCTCGAACTTCTCTAAGGGTAAAATTGTCTTTAAAAATAAAAACCTAACTCAGAAAAATCAAATGGATAAGAAAAAGAGATCCGTTCAAAACTTGGTTTCAGAAAAACATCTTATAAAATAATATACCAAAGTAATTTGTCGAAATCGTGAAATTCGAAATCAAGTTTTTGAAAATATCAAGTAACACATGAATTCTTTTAAGTTTTAAAAGTTTGAAAGAGAAGAGGACTTGCTTTTGGTGGGCTCATTTTACGCCTCTTGTCAATTGATTGACGCACTTTGCGTATCTTTTTATTTTTTTTATAACCTTTGTGTATTTTTTTTTCTTTTTTTTT